GAGTACTTTTTAAAATCTGGGATTCACATTAAGTATGCAACTTTTCAATGATGCCAAAAGGGGGAAGATATTGTGCTTTACACATTATTCTGAATAAGTGATATTTATAACCTATAACCTGGTCCTTGATGAGAAGTAAATTTTCTAAGTCTAGTGTTGATTGTTAAGTTGAGTTCTTACAGGTCTTTTGATCAGTAAAAAGCACAGAGTTTGTCATCATCAAAAAGGGGGAATTTGTTGGCCCAAGAACAGGTGAAGTTTTGAAGAATGACAAACGAACTCAGTCATGGACCAGGTCTATCATGTGAAGCACAGTGATGATCAACCTACACATGTGAGATGCACGTGAAGGAGATAAGTTTCATTGATCAACCAGCAATATCTCCTTATCTGATCGAAAAGATTGCATATTGGATAAGGAGAGAAAGTCTCCTTATGTGAAGAGAACACAATCCGGATAAAAGATAGTGTTGGAGTTTGTGTTGTTCAAGGACTCAACATCGATGGAAGCTCAGAAATTGAGTCTCAATCAAACTCTAATTACTAACTCACTAAATAACAGTGATTGTTCTCTTTTACGGGCATTGCACAAACGCAGAAGTTAAACTAAATTGAGAGCAAAAGAGCGAGGCAATTTTGCAAGCAATTTATGTGAGATTTGAGTGTGCATTCCTGAAGCTACTTGAACGAGATAGAAGAACCAATTCCATTGTGTCTTTCTTTATTTCTAGTTCAATTGTAGTAGGTGATTTAAATTGTACCTTTCAGCTTTCATAGAAGCAATTGTATTAGGTACTTAGAGTGTTCAAGTTATATGCTAACTTGAAGTTGTCGCAACAGTTGAGGCTGTGTGCTACAACGGATTAGAGTTAATCCTTAGGTTTACAAAGAGTTTTGTAAATGCTATTTTGGCTCAGTGATTTTAGTGGAAGTTTGGGAAAATCCTACTGAGTAGTAGGTCGTGGTTTTTTCACCTTTTGATCCAGGTGTTTTCCATGTAAAAATCTCTGTGTTCCTTATTTTATGTACTTATTATTCCGCAAACAGTAGAGTTAGTACACCTAGAAGAACCAGGTTCTTCTAGAGCGAAGAATTGGGTACCACACAAATCACCCCCCTCTTGTGTGGTATTTACGTATAAAACATCACCAAGGCTATACTTTGAAGTCCTGCTTACTTTCTTTACTGCACTTTGATTCTTTAACTGGTTTGTTCTGATTAATTTTTCAGCATCAACAACAACATGTTTCTTTACTGTTTCACTCCTTCTAGTCTGCCTCCTGTTTGTATCTAGATAAATCCATTATTAATGCATGCTATGCTCTGCCCTTCTGTTTGAATAAATGCTTTTGTTATTTATCATAGCTGGTGGACTTTGAATCCCTATCCTTAATGTAGTTAGTATCTGTGGTTGGTTTGGGGCATGACAACATCGAACATTGCTGTTCATGACCCAAACATGATCCCTTTGGGATCACAACCTCCATGTTTCCCTTATCTGCTGTGTGTTCTGGTTGATTTACAGGCATGTCAGCAGTTCCTATTGTGGTCCATGCCCAAAGTTAACCCATGCCTAAGTGTATAGGCTCTTTTGCAATGGATACCCAATCCCCTGCCCCCTTTTGTGAAGTTATTGATTCCCTGAAATGTTAATGGCTATCCCCATCAGCCTTTCCCTCTCTTTTTTTCCCTCAGCCCTTAAAACTCTGTTCCTGCACTCTCACTATCTTTTCAGAACTAAAGTTCTCCCCCCCCCCCCCATGTGAGTCTTGCCTTGGGACCCCATGAGCTTCTCTGAACTTGGACATATGAGGGCTGGCATTTTCACACTGTACTCATCTCTATTCTGGTTGTATAACATGGGTATGAGCACTGTCCGGGGTTGTATTGAGGCCCTTAGGGAACTCTGACACACCCAAGTCTGAGAAAGGCTTTGAAATCATGGCATTGGCAAAGATACGGTTCCTTGCATATCTCAGATAGGAAGTCAAATCAGGCTTTCCTATGGTTGTAGCCTTTTCTTTCATTCTTTCTTTTGTAATTCAGTATTTTTGGTTTGTAATAAGTTGTAATAAACATTTGGGGATGGCTAGTGAAAACGGTTGGGTGATCATGTATGCTCAAGGGTAGAAAACCTGCCTATAGGACTATTTAAATTCTTTATGTTCAATTCTGTATTTTTAGACACCATGTCTATAGGGTTTATCTCATTTTCTCCATGATCAATGTCACACCTAGATAACCTGCCTATAGGACGTATTTAAATTCTGCATGCCACTTAGATATCATGTTTTAGGTTCTAAACAGCTGAAAATAAGTGTCATGTTCGTAATGCTGAAATCAGTAACATATAGAAATCATGCCTATAGGGGGTTCTTAAATAAATCTGATTCGCTTCATTCACACTCAATGTTAGATATCATGTTCATAGGGTTTAAATCAGCAATAATAGATACCATCACCTGCAGAACTTGAAACTGGTCCGTTTTAAAATCAGTCTATTCTGAATCAGTTTTAAACAATCTAATTCCCTTACTTAACGAGATTTAGCAAGCATGCCTATAGGATCTCAAACAATTCGTTTTTTTACTGTTTCGCCGCTTTCTGAATTAAAGTAGGTATCATGCCTATAGGACTCCGTTTAAACACTTAGGCAAGCCTTAGGTAATAACATCAATAAAACTGAATTCGCCTTTGTTAATTAGTAACTGCTCCAACCAGCAGGCAGGCCTGATTTGGGCTTCTTATCTGAGGTATCTGATGAATCTGGCTCTGAATCAAACTCCCCTCGTCTTTAGTATTTTAATCAGACCCTAAAAAGTTTGTGTAAGTCATGCTAGTTATGTGCTTTTGTTCAAGGAGGTGTATTTGAGCCTGTATCTGTTTATATGCTTCCCCAACATGCAGTATGTGTTTTGTATGTCGCCTTAGATTTTTATCCTTTGAAACCAATCAGCCTAATACCCCTTCCCTTTAGGAATAGTAGTCCTAAGTACCTCCGGGACTGATAGGAATGGGACGGGTAATAGCATGCAATAGTAATCGAGACCAATCTGCGCTTTAATACCTTAAACGGGGTGGGAAAGGGTAGATATGGATATGATGACCGGTGCGCTAATACCACGTGTAGCCCCTCTTTTGAGGAGTGATTACCGGGTATTGCATTGATGTGATCCATATTTTAAATAAACCTAGGACCCCCTTTCCCTTATTTCCCTTTTCTTTTAAAAGCATTGCAACTCCTTGTTTAAAATCAGCTTTAATTGCTCTCTCATACTTTGTTCCCTTTCAAACATTTGTTATTTGAAATCCCCTCTTGTTTGAGCCTTATTTGTTTATATGTTAATTGCACCCCATTTCACAATGACTGTCTGGACGGGAACCACACTAGTGGATCCTGAAGGGTGCCTAACACCTTCCGCTTGGGATAATTTCAAGCCCTTACCCAATCTCTGGTTAATATAACGTAGAATGGAATCTCTATTGGTGTCCTAATGCACCTTAACTCATTAGGTGGCGACTCTTCAAATGCGAAACCCAGTTCCCAAAAGGAATGAGTTTCCCCAAAATGTCATAAACCTGATTTCGCAAGAAAAAGGGGGCGCGACAGACCCGATGAAGATAGAGGCGTTTCAGAGTTGGACCAAGCCGTCATCAACTACGGAGATTCGGAGCTTTCTCGGCTTGGCCAGTTATTATAGTCGCTTCATGGAGGATTTCTAATCTATTGCGTCGCCCTTGACCAAATTGACCCAAAAGGGTGCTCCTTTTAGGTGGTTGGATAAGTGTGAGGAGAGCTTTCAGAAGCTCAACAATGCCTTTACCATAAATCCAATTCTAGTTCTACCATCAGCTTTTGGTTCTTATACAGTATATTGTGATGCTTCTCGGATCGGTATTGGGTGTATCTTGATTTAAGAGGGTAGAGTGATTGCTTATGCCTCGCGTCAGTTGAAGCCTCATGAGAAGAACTACCTTGTTCATGATTTGGTGTTAGCTTCCATCGCTCATGCATTGAAGAATTGGAGGCATTATCTCTCTAGTAAGTCTTGTGAGGTGTTTACGGACCATCGAAACTTCCAGTACTTGTTCAAATAGAAGGATCTAAATTTGAGGCAGCGGAGATGGTTGGAGCTGCTAAAAGACTATGATATCACCATTCTGTATCACCACGGTAAGACCAATGTGGCGGTCGATGCCTTGAGTAAAAAATCGGTAAGTAAAGGTAGTCTTGCATTCGTTCCCGTTAATAAGAGGCCTCTTGCAGTTGATGTTCAGACCTTGGCCAACCGGTTCGTGAGATTGGATATTTCGGACACCAAACAAGTTCAAGCTTGTGTGGGCTCTCTGTCTTCCTTATTTGACCGCAGAGAGTGCCAGTATGATGATCCTCATTTAGTTGTCCTCAAGTATAGGGTTCAGCAGGGTGATGCCAGAGATTTGACTATTGGGATAATGGGGTATTGAGGATGGAGGGTCGGATTTGTGTGCCCAATGTGGATGGGCTACGTGAGTTTATTCTTGAGGAGGCCCAAAAGTTGTGGTATTCCATTCATCCGGGTGTCGCGAAAATGTATCATGACTTGAGGCAGCACTATTTAGCATCACTTTGTCACGCCCCGAACCATGGCCTAGGCGTAACACGACACTCGGTGCCTGACTGCATGTGACCGAGCGAACCAACTGTATGGCTGGATCAACATGTGGTATAACTATGAGCTAGAGGTAAATGTAAAACATGATAATCTGCTAAAAAGTCTGACTGAAATATCATAGATGCAGAAAATACTGAAAGGTCTGCAAGTACAAACAAGTAGCTGACAAGGCTAACACATGAAAGCCTGCTAATATCTAACTGACTGGGTTATAGTCTACGAAACCTCTAAGGAATACTAAAAATGCCAACTGTTTACCGGGACAAGGTTCCCGGTATACCTTATTAACCGAAAATACTATCATGACTAACACAAAAGAGAGATAAGGCCCCGAAAGACTGGAGCTCACCAACAGCTGATACGAGATGTCCTAACAAGCAGAATCGTCAACCTGAAAATCGTTACATGCATCGCGAGATGCAGGCCCCGGGAAAAAAGGACGTCAGTACATTTGAATTGCACTGGTATGCAAAATACCTGAACAAAAGAGCTGTAAATACTGAAACTGAAACTGAACTGCTAGCTGATACACTGATAACTAAACAAGGAAGTAAGGATATGAATACTCCCTCTTCTGAATGATGAACAGCCTATTTATCTGATAAGCTACGGCCCCGGGCCCAATATATATACATCTGCACAAGCTAAGGCCTTAGGCCCAAGTATACGCATACATAACTACGGCCTTAGGCCCAAAAATGCATAGAGCATAAACTACGTCCTCAGGCCCAAATACAGTTGTTCAACATTCAGGAATTTAGAATCAGGAACTGAGAATCATACTGTAATAAATGATGCTGAAATAATGAGCCATACCAAGTGACATGATACTATAATAGTGAATAGGGTTAGACTGAGATGAATATTCATAATAAGTTTATCTGTCATAACTGAGACTCATAGAATATCTAATGATTATGAAATTATGCCATCTAGAGAATAGAAGTTCTACTACTATTCAGGGAACTAGGTCATAGTTACTTTCTGAGGAAATTGGTAAGGGTCATAATGAATATGACGTAGGGAGAATCATAGACATTCCCAAACGTAAAGAGTTAGCCATACATACCTTAACTTTCGGCTCATGAGCGTAATACAACGTTTGTCAACCCTTTCAACTTTAATCTATAGCAATACAAGTCCAAGGGATTCCATATTAGCTATAATGCTCATGTTTTGGTCACTTAAGCATTTCATCAAACACTTGGTGAAAATAAAGCTTCATAGTCCTTATTAATGGTGTCTCTACACCCAACAACCCATTTCCTTGCCCCTAGATAAATTCTAAAGTCTCAAATGGTTGTAATCGATATTATTCTTTATCACCCATAAGCTAGACAACACCCTTAACCAATAATCAACACTCAACACCCCAAACCTATAATCGTTCATGCTTTTCTATCAAAACCATCAACTCATATCTCATGAACTAGGGTTTATAATCAGTAAACCAATGCTAGAATCAATTAAAGGGTGAAGACATTACCTTTCGAAGTTCAAACCCTTGAATTTCGAGTTCTAGGCTTCCTTCTCTCAACAATGATGACCCAATCGAATATCTAATGATATGGAGGGTTTACCCATGTTAATAAGATATTGGGAAATTGAAATTAACTTAGAATAACCATTAGAACTTACCTTGGGTGGTGGAAAGACCCTTAAGGAGTTAGGTTTTTGAGAGTTCCCCTTTCTAGAGCAAGTTTTTATGTTTTGGGGCTGTGGGGGACGAAATATAGCTTTAAAACGACCCCCCACTAGCGCGATCGCGCACCTGGAGGCTTGTTCGTGCTAGTGGTCGCGCTACCGGGCGCGCATAAGCGTACTGTTCTGAAAATGCACATAACTTTTTTCACAGAGATCCGTTTGGGATCCATAATTTATCGTTGGAAAGCTATTTAAAAGGCCTACAACTTTGATCCTTTGCATTTTCCCCAATTCCTTACACATTTTCACTAAAACGTGATGGAAGACAGACCTTCTGCAAACTTAGTCGATTTTGTCAAATCTTATGCACCTCTCTTTCCATCTTGATTTTTGAAAAAACTATTTTACCCACAATCATCCCGTTGGGACTTCACATGTTTAAAATATAACCTTACCACTCATTTACCACATCTACACCTAAGCCGAATTTACGGGGTGTTACATTATCTCCCCCTTGGGATCATTCGTCCTCAAATGATGGTCCTGGTTGCAACTACGACTATCTATGGACATTAAACGGGTGTGATGGTGATATGCGAATATTGAAATATCATGAATACATGTGTATCCAACTGAATGAGTACGTAATAATTGAGTTCTAAGCTGAGTAAATACTGAAGAACACGGAGATTATAATATAAGAACTGAATGGAAATGTCAATTACCTTCCACATTTTCCTTTTGCCCTTCAAAGAGATGGGGATATCTGGACTTCATGTCCTCCTCGGCTTCCCATGTAGCCTCTTCACTCTTTTGATTCCTCCAAAGCACTTTTACTGAAGCAATTTCCTTAGTTCTGAGCTTGCGAATTTGACGATCAAGAATAGCCACTAGAATTTCTTCATAAGATAGGCTGTCTTTAACCCCTATAACTTCTGTAGGAACCACAAGTGACGGGTCTCCCATGAATTTCTTCAACATGGACACATGGAACACTGGGTGTACGACAGCTAGTTCTTGTGGCAATTCTAACTCATAAGCCACCTGTCCGATCCTTCGCAGGATTCTATATGGACCAATATAGCGGGGACTAAGCTTCCCCTTCTTCCCAAATCTNATTAGGCCTTTAGAGATAATCTTTAATAGAGAATAATAGTCCCTTTTAGGATGGCCTTAAATAATAAAATGAGGCGAGCCCCGCCAAATAAAATGCATAAATTGTGGGGCCCTCTTTAAATGTTTCCTATTAAAATCCTTAGAATTTGGGACGTGCCATTTAGCAAATTTCATGGCCTCCCGCAAAGTTAATAATACGCTAGCTGCTTTAGGCCCGGCATTTAATAATATTACCTTCTTAAATACGGGTGCACATTTATGTGACTCAAATCCAAATCTCAACGAAGTCGAAATGTGTCAAAAACCGCGGGTGCATTTATGTGACGTGGTTCGAGACGTGTTTTCACGACGTTGCAATTCTCTTTGAAAAGAATAATAAAAGCGGTTTAAAGTTAAAATGCACTTTAGGATGACATGTATTAAAATCAGATTATTAGCCAATTATAATAGTTTAAGCGACGGTGCTGGAACCACGGGATCCGGGGGTGCCTAACACCTTCCCTCGGGTCAACAAAATTCCTTATTCAGAATTTCTGGTTCACAGACTCCAAATGGGAAGTCAATTTTTCCTCGATCTGGGATTCAAGTTAAACCGGTGACTTGGGACACCAAAATCCAATCCTATCCCAAGTGGCGACTCTAAAAATAAATAAATAATCCCATTTCGAATAATGTCACTTTAAATGGAAAAACTCCCTTGTACATTATCCTTCGGGGTAGATGTGTAAAAAAGGAGGTGTGACAATGGACACATGGAACACTGGGTGTACGACAGCTAGTTCTTGTGGCAATTCTAACTCATAAGCCACCTGTCCGATCCTTCGCAGGATTCTATATGGACCAATATAGCGGGGACTAAGTTTCCCCTTCTTCCCAAATATCATAACGCCTTTCATGGGCGATACTTTCAAAAACACCCAATCATCAACTTGGAACTCTAAGTCTCTACGCCGCGCGTCCGAATAGGACTTTTGGCTATTTTGAGCCGTCTTCAAATGCCTTTGTATAAAGTTGACTTTCTCCATAGCCTGATAGACCAAATCGGGTCCTAACAACTCCGCTTCTCCGACTTCCAACCAACCAATTGGTGATCTACACCTTCGCCCATACAAAGCTTCGTACGGTGCCATCTTGATACTAGAGTGATAGCTGTTATTGTAAGCAAACTGAATGAGAGGTAGGTGATCGTCCCAATTACCTTTAAAATCAATAACACACACCCTTAACATATCCTCTAGAGTCTGAATGGTGCGTTCCGCCTGTCCATCTGTCTGAGGATGAAAATCAGTGCTGAGGTTCACCCTTGTGCCCAATCCCTTCTGAAAGGATTTCCAAAAGTTTGCTGTGAACTGAGCACCATGATCTGAGATAATGGACAAGGGAGTCCCATGCAATCAGACAATTTCTTTGATATACAACTTGGCATAATCCTCGGCCTAATATGGAGCCTTTACTGGCAAGAAGTAAGCTGACTTGGTATGTCGGTCTACAATCACCCAAATCGAATCATGCTTCCGGAACGAGCGAGGTATACCGGTTATGAAGTCCATGTTTATCATCTCCCATTTCCAAATGGGAATTTCTATATTCTGATTTAAACCGCCAGGCCTCTGGGGTTCGACTTTCACCTGCTGGAAATTTGGACACTTAGCCACGAAATCTGCTATATTCTTTTTCATATCGTTCCACCAATAAACCTCCTTAAGATCGTGATACATTTTTGTGGAACCTGGGTGAATAGAATACCTAGAATTGTGGGCTTCTGACATAATCCTCTCTCTGAGCCCATCTACGTTTGGAACACATAGTATGCCTCTGTATCTCAAAGTACCATCATCTCCCCCTTGTTCAAAAACCATAGTCTTATGTTTGTGAATTCCCTCCGTCAGCTGCAATAAGTAGGGATCACTGAACTGTTTTTCCTTCACTTCAGCTACTAAGGAGGATTCAGCCCTGTTCTGGAGAACAATGCCACCATCTTCAGAGTCCAAAAGTCGAACTCCTAGACTTGCTAAGAGGTGGACTTCCTTCACCATAGTTCGCTTGTCTGCCTCAACATGAGCTAAGCTGTCCATAGAACGCCGACTGAGAGCATCGGCTACAATATTTGCTTTTTTTGGATGATAGAGGATATCAACATCATAATCTTTAAGTAATTCGAGCCACCTTCCCTGACGTAGATTTAATTCTCTTTGCTTGAAGATGTACTGGAGGCTCTTGTGATCTGTAAAAATGTCAACATGTACCCCATACAAATAATGGTGCCAGATCTTAAGCGCAAACACCACAGCTGCTAATTCAAGATCATGAGTCGGATAATTCTTCTCATGAGCCTTGAGTTGTCTCGACGCGTAGGCTATGACTTTACCGTGCTGCATTAATACACACCCAAGACCAACCCTTGAAGCATCAAAATAAACAATGAACCCTTCGGTTCCTTCCGGTAGTGTCAGGACTGGAGCTGAAGTCAACCCTTTCTTTAACTCCTCAAAACTTTCTCGCACACGTCCGACCATTGAAACTTGACTTTCTTCTGAGTTAATCTAGTCAAAGGGGACAAGATAGAAGAAAATCCCTCTACAAAACGCCTGTAATAGCTTGCTAGACCCAAGAAACTTCTTATATCGGATACAGAGGTGGGTCTAGGCCAATTCTTCACTGCCTCTATGTTCTGAGAGTCCACCTTCACGCCTTCCCTTGAGATGACATGGCCCAAAAACGCTACTGATTTTCAACCAAAATTCACACTTGGAAAATTTTGGATATAGCTTGTGATCCTGCAGTTTCTGCAACACAATTCTGAGATGTTCTGCATGGTCAGTCTCGCTACGAGAATAAATCAAGATGTGATCAATAAATACGATAACAAACAAATCAAAATAAGGCTTGAAGACCCTATTCATAAGGTCCATGAAAGTTTCTGGTGCATTCAATAAACCAAATGACACTACCAAAAATTCAAAATTCCCATATCGAGTCCTAAAAGTTGTTTTTGGAATATCAACTTCCTTAACCTTCAACTGATGGTATCTCGATCTGAGGTCAATCTTGGAATAACACTGGGCACCCTGAAGTTGATCAAATAAATCATCTATTCTGGGATGAGGGTACTTGTTCTTGATGGTGACTTTATTCAACTGACGATAGTCAATGCACATACACAAGGACCCATCCTTCTTTCGGACAAACATAACCGGTGCGCCCCAAGGTGAGACCCTTGGCCTTATAAATCCCTTATCTAGAAGATTATTCAACTGGACCTTTAACTCTTTTAACTCTGCTGGAGCCATTCTATAAGGCGGAATAGATATCGGCTTAGTGCCTGGAAGTACATCAATTCCAAAGTCAATCTCTCTATCGGGAGGGACTCCAGGGAGATCTTCGGGAAACACTACTGGAAACTCATTTACAATTGGTACCGATTGGAGAGTGGGAATCTGAGCATCTGCATCCTTAACTCGAACCAGGTGGTAGATATATCCCTTGGAGATCATCTTTTTGGCTTTAAGGTAGGAAATAAACCTACCCCTAGGTGTTACTGCATCACCCTTCCATTCTAAGACTGGTTCACCGGGAAATTCAAAACTTATTATTTTGGTTCTACAACCCACTTTGGCATAACATGACTCTAACCAATCCATGCCCATGATCACATCGAAGTCTAACATCTCCAATTCTACTAAGTCTGCTACAGTAAGACGATGATGCACTTTAACTGGACATCCCCTATATATACACCTTGCTATAACTGATTCTCCAACTGGAGTGGACACTTCAAAGGGTTCACACAATTTTTCTGGTTCTATCCCAAATTTCATTGCAATATATGGGGTTACATAAGATAGGGTGGATCCCGGATCTGTAAGAGCATAGACATCAAAAGTGAATATTGTTAGCATACCTGTGACAACATCTCCACGAGCCTCTGTATCCTGACGGTCTACCAGTGCATACAAGCGGTTTCGTCCACCGCCTGCATTATTAGACTTTGCTGCGCCGCGCCCTTGCTGAGCCTGAGAGTTATGATAGGCTGTTGAATTAGTGGACTGAGCTACATTTCCTCCATTGTTCTGCTTTGCTGATGGACAATCCCTCAAGAAGTGGCCCTGCTGACCGCACCCAAAGCAACCATTTGTGCCTAAACGACACACCCTTGGATGCTTCTTACCACACGTGTTGCAAATAGGGTACTCCAGGCCTCTGTAGCCCACACTAGTCTGTGACTGTGAACCTGCTGCTCTAAAATTTTGGTTTTTCTTGTTAAACTTGGACCTCTGAACCGGTGCACTAGCTGAAGATGGAGCGGGTCCTGATATTGATTTCCTGAAGAACTGGCGATTGCCTCTTGCTTGAGATCCCCCATGGCTGAAATTTCCTGCAGACTTAGCTCTCTTTCTAAATTCCCTGTCTTTCTCTTTCTGTAGCCGCTCTTCTTCTTTCAACCAGTCTTCATTCCCTTGAACAAAGGCAACCATCTTAGTGATGGTCATGTCATTATTCTGAGTAGCTATATTAGCATCAGCAAATAAATCATCTGAAAGCCCCAACACAAACCGCCTAACTCTGGCCCTCATATCACGTACCATTTCTGGAGCATACTTGGCCAGAGAGACGAACTTGAGGTAGTACTCATTCACACTCATATCATTCTGTCTGAGTCTCTCAAACTCCAAAGCCTTAGCTTCCAAGACCTTAATGGGTAGAAAGCGCTCAAGGAACGCATCTGCAAACTCTTTCCAAGTCGCAGGATCCGCATCCTCCCCTCGGGACTCTTCCCACATTTCATACCAAGGGTTGGAAACATCCTTCAGCTGGTACGTAGCAAGCTCTGCTGCCTCAGTGTCTGTAGCATGCATCACTCGAAATATCTTCTGAACCTCATCAATGAAGTTTTGAGGATCCTCATCCTTCTTGGAGCCTGTGAAGACGGGAGGTTTCATGTTGAGGAATTCCCTAGACCTGGAACTATCCGTCTCATGAACATCACTTGTTCCCTGCCTTTGAGCCTGGGTAGCAACAATCTGGGTGAGCAACTGGATAGCTCCCCTAACATCCATGTCTGAAGCACTAGGCACTGAGCCCGGTGCAACCCCTTGGGCCAGAGTGTCCTCCTCCTGAGCAGCATTAGTTGTGGACCCCTGTCTAGTAGCTGAGGCCCTCCCGGTGTACTTTCTTTTTGCAGGCATTTTTTTTTCTGAAATACGCAATTCGCACGGGTTAGACAGATTCCTGAAAGCATAGCTCTAACTGCACGATCTAGAGTATGAAAGAAATGGAACAATCCTAGATGTCTTGGTGGTCAACTGTTTACTTTTTTGATTGGACACACACATAAAAGAGACCCCACTGGACACGGCTTCATAGAATCCCTAGGACTCTTGAACCTAGGGCTCTGATACCAAGCTTTGTCACAACCCGAACCATGGCCTGGGCGTAACACGGCACTCGATGCCTGACTGCATGTGACCGAGCGAACCAACTGTATGGCTGGATCAACATGTGGTATAACTATGAGCTAGAGGTAAATGTAAAACATGATAATCTGCTAAAACTTCTGACTGAAATATCATAGATGCGGAAAATACTGAAAGGTCTACAAGTATAAACAAGTAGCCGACAAGGCTAACACATGAAAGCCTACTAATATCTGACTGACTGGGTTATAGTCTACGAAGCCTCTAAGGTACACTGAAAATGCCAATTGTTTACCGGGACAAGGTCCCCGGCATAGCTTATTAACCGAAAATACTATAATGACTAACACAAAAGAGAGATAAGGCCCCGAAAGACTGGGGCTCACCAACAGCTGATACGAGATGTCCTAACAAGCAGAATCGTCAACATGAAAATCGTTACCTGCATTGCGAGATGCAGGCCCCGGGAAAAAGGGACGTCAGTACATTTGAATTGCACTGTTATGTAAAATAGCTGAACAAAAGAGCTGTAAATACTAAAATTGAAACTGAACTGCTAGCTGATAAACTGATAACTGAACAAGGAAGTAAGGATATGAATATTCCCTCTTCTGGATGATGAACAACCTATTTATCTAATAAGCTACGGCCTCGGGCCCAATATATATACATCTGCACAAGCTACGGCCTCAGGCTCAAGTATACGTATACATAACTACAGCCCCAGGCCCAAAAATGCATAAAGCATAAACTACGGCCTCAGGCCTAAATATAGGTGTTCAACATTCAGGAATTTAGAATCAGGAACTGAGAATCATACTGTAATAAATGATACTGAAATAATGAGCCATACCAAGTGACGTGATACTGTAATAGTGAATAAGATTAGACTGAGATGAATATTCATAATAAGTTGATCCGTCATAACTGAGACTCATAGATATCTAATGATTATGAAACTATGCTATCTAGAGAATAGAAGTTCTACTACTATTTAGGGAACTAGATCATAGTTACTTTCTGAGGAAACTGGTAAGGGTCATAATGAATATGACGTAGGGAGAATCATAGACATTCCCAAACGTAAAGAGTTAGCCTTACATACCTTAACTTCCGGCTCTTGAGCGTAATACAACGTTTGTCAATCCTTTCAACTTTAATCTATAGCAATACAAGTCCAAGGGATTCCATATTAGCTATAATGCTCATGTTTTGGTCACTTAAGCATTTCATCAAACACTTGGTGAAAATAAAGCTTCATAGTCCTTATTAATGGTGCCTCTACACCCAACAACCCATTTCCTTTCCCCTAGATAAATTCTAAAGTCTCAAATGGTTGTAATCGATATTATTCTTTATCACCCATAAGCTAGACAACACCCTTAACCAATAATCAAAACTCAACACCTCAAACCTATAATCGTTCATGCTTTTCTATCAAACCA